ATTTATGTCACTATTACCCAGGCTGAGGTAAAACAYGTTTATGTATATAACAACAAAAGGATGGATGGCATTCTTCAGATATGAGACAACAAGGTAATTTGGCTGGCTATGAAAGACACAGAACAATACTGGCTTGTTAAAGGGTCTTTTCATTTTAATAATTTCTTTTCATAGTCATGATAAGGGACTGGAACGGAGACAGATCAAGAAGAATTAGGTGGAGAATTCAGAGTACGATATATAATCTTCCAGTAATGATTTGAGAGGACAAAATGCAGGCAATGGAACAGATGAGACTGCAGCTCTACAAACAAAAAGACTGATGAAAATTAGTGGTTCATCATTCTGTGCATTTCAAGATTGATTAAGGGACATAAGTCCCACATTTATATCTCCTTTTAACAAAAGCTTACAGCCCAACTCAGCAAATACTTGAGAAAGTGCAACTTAACAKATCTACGCTGGACGTATTTACCAAWTTTCAGAAACTGGGCCATATTCYGCAATGGCCAGCAGGACTTTCAAACTTCACATTGAAGTCAATCAACACCATCCATCCTAAATTCTTAATAGTAGCCACCAGATAATAAATTCTCCAACCAGTCCCTATTACCAATAAATTAATCCACCTTCCACATATTTTTACAATGAGAAATGTTACTTCCAGGATAGTTTTTGGCACAGACAAAGAATGAAGATTTTTCTACTGCTGAAGTACCCCACCTTCAGCCTCATGGGGAGGGACCACCTTCTTCACATCCTTTTTGAAACTGGTAACTGACAGACGAAGATTTTACTGCAGCCCAAAAGATCTAAAGCTGTAGGTCACTGGAGGATATTAAATGATAAGCAAATTCACATTTCTGAAGTAATTCTCCCAATTTATTAGCAATGCTAGCTCCTGTTCCACAGTAGGGGAGATAATAATGAAGMCTTGTTAAAGGGCAATGCGATATCTTTCATGTAATGTCTTTTTTTCATTTGTGATGAAGTCATTACAGCAGCACTGTGTCTTCCTGAAGCCTCAAACAATAGACTGCATTAAATCTCCTGTGCAAAATTAAGGACAGTAATTCACTGGAAAAATAAGCATGTGTTCTTGCTAACTCTGATGGCCTTCTAAAAATCATTAAACTACTTTAAATTGGCAACAATAAAACAATGCAAAACTGTTTAAACTTTTTCCAAAGCAAAGAGAAAATTAAYTTCCTTTGTAAATACTTCTTTCTTCCAAATCTGCCTAGTATTCTCTAGCTCATAAGACATGTCTTCCTTATGGACTGCCTAAATCCCATAATCCCATTCTCCTACAATGRTCTAATTTGAACTCAGTGTCTTTTAAATCTGGGTTGGTAAAGGTTTATCTTCACTGCATCGAAGTTCCAGTGTCCTGCTCACCTCTTCTCCAATCACAGGCTCCAARGATCTGGTGCATGGGGTAAAGCTGAAATGTCAGCTCCAATTTCCTTTCAGACTCAGCTAGAGACTTTGCTGCTTTGCAGCTGGGGATAGGTCACACAGTTTCATTCTCCCAGAGCTACCCTAAATTCTCAGCTTACTACACTTTCTTTGCCTATTCCTTCTGTTGTATCACATGTTAAATTCACCTTCACCTGCTCCACATAAGTAACACCTGTGCTGTGTAAGGACTGAGACACTACTACTCTTTAAGAATACTTCTTAAAAACTTTTCAGCAGTTATCAGCCCAGATTTAGACAGAGCAYCCAAACACCGTGAAAGACACAGAGGAATCACGAAACAAAACAAAACAATTAACACAGAAAGATCTTGGAGCTTATCTACAAATGGTAGAGAAGAACCTTACATTATACTTCACCTCTTTTGCAAAAGACTGAAGTCTCCAGAAAGAAAACAAGAATCAACAAGGGACAATGATGGATTGATTGCCTGGTTTGGTGTCCAGACACAGCAGGAAATGCTGGTATCTGCTCTGTYCTGGTTCTCATCTACACCATGGGTGACTTCTACTACCACCACATATAGCCAAGACACAATACCTGGTGAAGACCAAGTTGCCCAACCAAGAGCAGTACAGGGAAGATTAATTTCTCATTAATGAAATGTACATGGTAGATGGTGCCTATTTCACCACAGCCATATGCCACAAAAAGTAAGTGAAAAAGTAATTTAAGATTAAAAGTTGGTGTTGTTTCTGTAAAAACTTTGTTTTTTCCAATTGTACTTCCATTTTGGTGGTGAAGGTATGAAAGGGAAAGGGAATGTTCCTTCTTTCTGAGTTTTTTTACTTCCAATTGTCAAGTTATTACAATGATCATTGTTCACTTTACCAAGAATGCTAAGCTGGTATTTTCTACTTCCTGCGTAAATAGGTCAAGAGGAGGACCAGCTGGGTGTGCAACACAGTCCTGCATTCATGAATGTCCAAACAATAGCCAAATTCCATCACCAAGGTCCTRTCTGTGAAGCCCACCTTGGAGGCCACAAATCACAAGGAAGAGTTAACCAAGGCACAACTACAGAGAAAACACCTTTTCTGGATAACATATTSATGTGTCCTGCAGAAAAGGACTACAATATTCAATATTCCTACAGGAACAGGCAAATATGCTTTAAAAAATTCTTCAAAATCACAAACATGTTTATTTGAAATATGGGCTCAGACTTAAGCAGGAGACAACTCAAAGYAGTCCTGTAGCCCTTCTAAGACAATAGCACTCTAAAGCCTCATGGGCAAAGCAATGACAACCCGGTGTTCTCTGGTCTGATAGACAGATCAGTGCTCGCCATCCTGGCCGAGAGCCACTGGTCCCCCAGACCCTGTTGCTTTCACTCCCCCAAAACTGACACCACCTTCATGATTCTCCAATCACAGATAAAMCCCTTTTTTCATGACCCTTGAGCCACGTTTCACTTTTGTCCTTGAAGTAAACCTAAAGCCAACAGCTGATACCAAGCAGGAACAGAAAAAACCCAAAYGTCTTCCTCCAGGTTTTGGAAGAGTTTGTCTGGGGTTCAGTGTCCTGATGAAGCTTTGGCCACTACGCCCAGAAGACTCAAAATACCATCTTAGTTCCCAAATTTCCAAGTAGAAGTCACATCTCCCAGTACACACCTATGACTGTGATGGAGGTGCAACTCCAGCAACTCTGGGTGCTGTAACACAGACAGACACCAATTCAAATCCCTACTATTTGGATCACTTCAGTTCCTACTCCATGCTTCCCAGTTACAATATTCATCTTCCCAAACAGCTCCATGTGCTGATTTTGATAATCACATCCTTCAAACACTTGTCCCTGTTTTGTACACCAACATCTACATATTCAAAGCAGTCTCCAAAGTACATGCCAAACATCTGCTTCAACCAGCTCTCTTTAGAGTTTAAGCTGTTTGCTGGAAAATTGCCATCCTAAYGGCCAGCTCCTGTGTTAGTGAACTGGAGAATTCATTTTGTATTTATTGATTGTTCCCTAATGAAGAATCATAAAGGTGCCAGAGACTCTTGACCAGACACTACTTAATTAGTACTAAAGTGCATAAAATTCCAAATCAAACGACCTCTTTGTCCAATGGCTCAGTCACTGGGGAAAAAATTACATCATTTTCTGCTTATACAGAAGTCCATAAAATTTTATTAAAAAATGCTAAGGAAATTAAAAAAATATATAGAGCATTCATTTCCTTCCAGTTCCTAAGACACTAAATAGGTCTTCCAGAATCAAATCACACTTTGCTAAAGGAGGCTTTCTTCATAAAGGATACGTGTATGTATCAAGCACAGAATTTATTTTAAACTGAAAAAAAGCAAATACCAATGGAACTTTTGTCTTCTGAACACGATAGAGAAACATTTCTATTACATACAAAGATATAATSCAAAGCATCCAGAAGGTATTAAAAACGTGTCTGTCCTTTCATCATTGTGGCTCATGCAATAGTTCAACTTTTACGCTCCCACAAACTGCCTTGTATTGGAGTAATATCTCAGGGTACTCGCTCTCAAGAAGGCAAGGGTGAGCAAGAACTCGATTAAATGTCAACCTTTTTTTCCCTCTCAAACTTAAAGCTTCAAACACACTCTGAATAACTGGTATTTCCTTGCAAGTGTTTCAAATTAAGTCATCCTGAAAGTTAATTCCCTCTCTTCTGTATCATTCAAATTCTCAAATTAGTAACTGAGAAAATAGCAGAAAGGAAAAAAGGCAAGTAACAGAATGAGGCAAAAGGCAAGAGCATTGCTACCTCTATTAGGCTGCTTGTTGAAGGCATCTGTCTTCAGATTAGCAAGGTGGCTTGGATCCTTTGGGATAACTTAAGATGTACACAAGGAAACAAACTTTCATGATAACGAAAACCCATTTAATACAGATGCCCTTGCTGTAATCTGCAATCACTGATACCATATGTACAAGAAAATACCCTCCCATGTTCCTAAAAACTATCACTCCAATGCCAAGTTCTGCAAAAAAATTCAAAAGCCTTTTCATGATCTGTCCTGTATTCAGCTGGTGATGTGACACCAGCTTAAACCATCTGAGGCTTCTAGACCTCTTATCTTAATGATAAACAAGTATATTTCACCAGGGAGAAAGCAGGTTACCASAAACAGAAACCAGAGTAGGACAAACACAGCACAGATGAAACAATCATAATAAGGCAAATATCCCCAGAAGGCAGAATAGCAAATATATATATGCATGTAGGTATGTGTGTATAGACATCCCAGACATATTCCTTTTCTCTTATTTTTATTAAAACAGCACCTTTTTCAATGGCTGCAAAAATGACACCAACAGCATTTCAGCTATCCCAGATTATTTCAGTAAGTCTTCTGCAGAGTCTTGTTCTGTGCTCCCAGAAGAACAGACTAGATGGTAACCAATACAACTCCCTAGAAAATACGCTCCAGAACAGTGCAAATAAACAAAAAACATAGAAAAGAAAATGGGAGGGACAGCTAACCACAGAGAATCTGGGGAAGGGTCACCAGAGTGARGTCACACAAACCTCTGCTTACCCCTTGCTCGGATTCCAGCAGCTCTGTTTTGACTCTGACTGCCGGCATCCCATCAAGCATTAACATTCTGTTCTCCAAGGCGCTGATGTCCTAAGGCAAAACGGGAAAAGGTTAATCAAAAAACTATGAAAAAAGCACTTGTTTCAACTCACTGGTGTAAGTTCTATGACACTGTAGAAGTAAGCTTCTTTTAGCAGAAATTAAGTTAACGAGTAGGATAGAATAGTAATTTTGAGGAGTAGCTGCCAAATTACTACTTCTGTTAAAACAGTAAATTATACTTTCAGTTATCCTTAARAGAGAACTAAGACTTTGTAAGCAAYGAGGGAAAATCATCTCCAAYTACTATTTTGTAATTTGAAATWAWTCACACAGGTTACATGTATATGAATTCGTGGCTTTAGAACTCAAAAGGAGARCAGTGGTGTCAAAAAGTTGGAAAGTTTTAGCAGTATATTTAGGTATAGCTGATTTCCGCCAAAACATTTGTACTTTTGGTAGAGAAAGAACAGACTTGTATGGAGAGAAGTTAAAGTGAAGGCCTGTACACACAYGCATTATAAATTAGCACACATCTACAACTCCTCAAATTTCTTATCACTGCCTTATAAAGTTATCAGCATTTGTCAATGAAAATCTCCCCACACCTCTAAAACAAGAGAGATAAAAAAGCAAGTTAAAAATAAGCATTGTCCATGCAGTTATAGGCTATATATACCAAGAGCTTCAACCTGAAGAAGGATTTGCAGAATGGTGCTTCCTTAAATCAACATTCCCTCTGTGAAACTCTCATCCTGCTGTTGCTGAAGCAGTTTATGAAGACATACAAAACAATCTCTTGTGCCTTCAATTCAAACAGTACCTCAACCTAAATCAATTTTCTACTCCAGCCAGGGCTCAAGGCTGGTGTTTGGAAGCAAGGATCTTTKGCTGCCATTTAGTTTGGACAACACAGGTAGAATAAAAACCATTATATTCTTCACGCTAGAATGTGACCTTAGAAATCCAGACATCTTGGTCAGTGGTACAGAAATGCAGAGACATCACAGCTGTTTTTCAAGTAACGTAACTGGAGCACATATCACTTGTGACTAATTCAGAGTCAGTTATTAATCTGCAGCCCTGCCTGGAAGGCCAGGCTCTAGACTGGAAACTYGTCTCTGCTCTGGTACCTTGTGGCCCTCAGTAACTGCATCAAAATGGAAAAAAAAACATTTTCCCTGTGTTTCACAAGCAGCAGATCTGTTCAGCACTGAGTGGGGCCATCATTCATAAGGAATGCATTCACAGCCCTTTTTCTTATCATGGCTACTTCAGTAGAATTTTAAGGAAAATTCCTAACAGTGGAATTCTGTCCTAACCGAGCTTCCAAAACACATTTTAAAAACTTAAATTACTTTAAACATTTTTTTTTTTTATTCTGAATGACACACCTCATCCCAAGACCTCAACTTTCTGCGATATCAATACTGCAGAAACTGTTTCTTTTTGTATACTTTATTATAAATTAAAAAACATGCTGAAAAGCAGGGAAACTGATATGCTCATGCTCCARCATGGTGCCACAAGCAGAGCAAATGACCTACTTAAAATCCCTGTCACTCTCACTTTGGACCCTGTGTTTTAGCACACAGAGCTGTGGTTACTTACTACATGACATCCAGAAACTGGATGATGAAGCAGGTAAGCAAGTGCAATCTCTATTTCTTTCCTTTAAAAGTAGATTTACATCATCCATAGAAAGTTCTAAATGCTTAGTTATAAAATTTCAGATCAAACAAGTTATTTTCAGCAGGATGCCTSTGCACTCAAACATGTGAGAATGAAAACCAGTCAAGCTATTGAGATGTCCCAGTCCATGCTATGCCCCTGCTGTGCATCTACTGTACTTTTTAAGCTTGACACAATAAGAAAGGGAAGAAAAACAAGTTCTTCCTATGTTTGATGAGCAAATTATCTTGTGCACCTTGATCTTTATTCAGTGTTTGAGGCATGAGGTGGGAAAAAAAGCAGTAAGGRTCTCTGATGCCACAAAGAAGCTGGATGAAATTGTGCCTGGCTTTACATCCTTCTTTCCAGCAAGGGCAGTGCACTGTTTATTTATTAGCAACAGATCTCAGGTGTCACTGAGCCCCATCAGTTTGGATGTGGTTCGGGGTGAAGACAGTGCAGGAGCCAGCATGGCATTCCTGGCTCCCCCAGTGCCTATTTTACAAGTTGAGAGGTCCCTCAGCTTTCTTGATTTATAGGCAGCACAGCTGAATTTTACAGCARGATCAGGAATACACCATCATCAAACATCCCTGAGGCTGTTTAGCTCATAGACAAAGAAGGATGAGCTGCTACTGCATGGTGTCCCTGAGGAAGTTTTACCCTCCTGAGCAAAGGGACTTACACAGCCTGGCTTACACTGGAGGCACAGGCAGAAAGAGGGGGGAAGACAAAGCGCCACGGAGKAAAGGCAGGTTTAATGAACTGTTAGAATCTGATTAGAGGCTAATGTCCCTTTTAGTGCTTTGTACCAATTTACAGCTGATATACTTGAACCATTTTTCCCCACTGGCTGTGATAAACTCATTAGTTTTAAAAATGCAAGCTAACCAGAGCCTTTGAAGTTTAAAACTGATAAATCATGAAAACCTGACTAGTTCATGTACCATTTAACACATTTACATTTAACTAAATTTTCATAGTGTTCGTTTCCCCTTTTGTTCACTAAAARTCTTATTTCTTAAAAGCAGCCTTTTGAGTGTTGGTCTGAAGAGCAAATGCTCTGGCAGCAAATGGCTCCAGCTTTCTGGGTAATTTAYAATTCAGAGGAGCAATAATCACAGGAGTAAATTCTTTCCAAACTATTTGATCTCTGCTGCATTTATGACTTGAAGTACATTGTGYGACATATCCTGGGGGGCCACTGCCAAGTAGATCCAGTCTGTGTGCGATCAGGGGATAACACATTCAGCCCAAAGCCCCCCAGAGAGCTGATCCCTCCAAACAGCGCTCTCCTACCATAACCAGTGCTTGCACTACAGTATGTTCAAAGCCATGCAGCAAACCAGACATAATTGTCGAGGTTTGCATACAGTGGGCTGTCACCTAAAGCAAAGGAGCTTGAGTTACTCCTGCAGGGGCTGGAGGTATGAATTGAGCTCTTCTGGGAGCCTCCAAGGTCAGACAAGCAGATGGAGCATCCACACCAGAGTGATGCCAGTCTGCTCCAGTGCCCACACTAACTGATGACACCCATGAGACYCACCCGCAGAGACTGCTGATGTGATGTATTGAGTCAATGCATTATTCAGGCCACTCAATTCTCCTCATCAACTGTGTAGCTAACTTCCAGACACCAAAATTGCTCAGGTGGATGGATCTTAATTCATGTGACAGTCCTTCTTTCTCTGGTCTCCCACCTCAGCCCTCCTAGTGGACTCCCTTCCCACCTCTGTAAAATGCATGGCAGATGTAGGTCCTAAACTGCGCCCATAATCAAGCCAAACACTRCATGACCTTACCAAAACATCTGTTCTCTTGGATGAGCAACTCATCCGAAAAGAGATAATGCTCTCCTTCTCAGTGCCATCCACCAGAACCTTCCACTAATCACTTTTGGACATTTATTCCCTTAAAATAATAATTAAAAACACAAATCATACCCAGGTCCGTATGGGCAACTGCTATTAATGTAGTTGTTACACAGGACAGATAAGCTTACAAGCTCTTCTGAGAAGCGGTGGCAATCAGTTTAATAACCAGACTCTCCCCGCTCCTAAAAGGCCTACGTTTTCAACACAGCACTGCTACAACCATCACTGGCATTTTCCTTGTGAGGATGACTTTCCATTGCAACTTTTAATCAAATTATCTTCAGCTACTTCAAAAGAAGAAGAAACACCCAAAAACTCATTACCTCATCCTGATACAAAACCCCTCAACATCCCTCATGTTTATTTTATTATGAATTATATTATTATGACATTTGCCACCCACAAGAAGGGCTAAGGTCTTGTAACAAGTTTTTCATTGGCCAAGCCRTAGATTTTGAGAATCACACTGCAAGCTTTTAACAGCCATGGGGACCTGATGCCACAACTGATCTCCATGGTTCTGAGACACCACCATAGACACCCCTAAACCCTCTTTATAATTTCTTCTAAGCACAAGATGACAGTAAGCAGATACCCCCACCCCACATCACAGCTGTTTCTCCCACTCTCCAAGATTTTCACATCTAGCTGCTCAGTACTAAAACATGACAGGCCCTACCCCAGGCAACTCCAGGAAGAAAGCAGTGAGGTCAGTCTTCTGAGCACCCAGAATTTCCTGCATGGATTGACATTTACACTCGTGAACACAATCAATACACAGAGGCAAGGCAGATGATGCTCGTTACTGCTGTCACTAACGAAAGGCACATGTTTAGTCTCATGGAAGAGTTGCACACTGGTAAGACAAAGACACCAATGGTTCTGCCTTTTCCATGGTGACCTAAAAGGTTCAGCTGACAATTCAGTCTTCAAAACTCTGGTGGACTTGACCTTCCTTAGCCATCTACGGAGATGCCCACTCAAGCCACTGCCGCACTCCTCCCCACCTCAACTGCACATGGGAAGAGCAGAATATAGAGAAGTTTAGGGGTTGAGATAAAGACAAGATGATCACTTATGAGGTATCAACACAGGCAAAATGGACGATGTGGGGAAAATTATTTTATTACCATCCAAGAGTTGGATGGTGAGAAAYGAAGATTAAAACTAAGCACTTCAACCCCCATCTCCCTTCTGCCCAGGCCCAACATCATTCCAACTCTTCCTTTACTTTTCTTACAAACTTAACTTCCAACATCACACACTTTGATTTTGAGAAATGAAGTATCAGTTGTGGGAATCACAACTCAATTTCAAATTCAGYATCCAAGAGACAGTAGAAAGTTTCAAGTTTAAGGAGAGTACATTCGAACAGCTAAAAAAAATGAACAACCTTCAGCCAAGTCCTTCTGTCCCAAATCTAAGACATAAATTTTTCCCTGCCTCATCTTCTAGTTCTTTTTACACAAGTTWTCTGTACATGCAATAATTTCTTAATTTATCATT